ATCCTGAAACATATATCTTGAAGGATCAGGTACTATTTCATATTTAATCAAAGAAACTTTACTGGATATGTTGAAATTCTATTGATTTTCTGTCATCAACTATGTTGATTTTTTAGCTGTGACTGAATCTATCATTGAACATGCCAGCTAATACATTTTAATTGAGCTAGCTGTAAACTGCAACAACAATTCAAACTTGCATCAAGAAACTTGTCGCATTGTTTATCTTAATTGAAGACTGGGTAGTTATTTAGGAAATGATCTTGTCATATTTTTCAGTTAATATTATTTTCATTCTGGTGCATTCTGTTGGCTAATATTAGTCAAAAACTGTATGATGCAAATCTGGGCAAGTCATTCTGTCTGTCTTATATTGTCAAATCCCTGATCCTTCTATGAATTCAAACATGGGCTTTTATTTTCCATGCTAGGAAACTCGATATCGCCAATGCTATCTTGATTTGATGTTAAACCTGGAGGTTCGTCAAATATTCAAAACCAGATCTAGGATCATTTCTTATGTAAAGAGCTTTCTTGACAATCTTGATTTCTTGGAGGTTAGTCATCTGTTCAATGTTTCGAATTATCAGTTATCTTTATGTTTCTTCTGGCTGTGTCATTAACCTAAATATTCAATCATTAGGTTGAAACTCCCATGATGAACATGATTGCCGGAGGTGCAGCTGCTCGTCCATTTGTAACCCATCACAATGAATTGAACATGAAGCTCTACATGCGTATTGCACCTGAGTTATATCTGAAGGAGCTGGTAGTTGGTGGATTGGATCGTGTTTATGAAATTGGAAAACAATTTAGAAATGAGGGTATTGATTTGACTCACAATCCTGAATTCACTACCTGTGAGTTCTATATGGCTTTTGCTGACTATAATGACCTGATGGAGCTCACTGAAAAGATGTTGAGTGGTAAGTAGCGAAAATGGCTTGACATTGGAAGATACGTTTCTGTTTGTTGATTTTCTTCTCATTTTCTCTTTCTCAAATTTGTTGGATTTTCCATGACTTGATTAATCTGCAATAGGGATGGTCAAGGAACTAACAGGCAGCTATAATATTAAATATCATGCAAACGGCCTTGATAATGATCCAATTGAGATTGATTTATCTCCGCCTTTCAGGTTTATGGGTCACCTTTACTCATGATGTGAACGAAGCAAAAAACAATCTCGGAAATGAAAATTTGATAATTAATTTTTCATTAATTTTTGCAGGAGGCTAGACATGGTAGCGGAGTTGGAGAAGATGGCTAACCTCAATATCCCCAAGGACTTTTCCAGTGATGAAGCTAACAAATATTTGTTTGATGCATGTGTGAAGTTTGACATCAAATGCCCTCCTCCTCAAACAACAGCACGTTTGTTGGACAAAGTATGTCTCGTCTTTTGTCTTTCCTGTCTCTCTTCGAATAATTGTGATGTGAATCAAGGTATTCCGTCGTCTGGGAAAAATGAGTTTGCACGTGGGGGCTATGCATGGATTTTTGTGATTCTAGTAAAAGTTTTATCAATTTTTTTTCTTTGATTGCATTCGCAGCTTGTGGGGTATTTTCTAGAAGAGACGTGTGAATCCTACTTTCATCATCAACCATCCTGAGATAATGAGTCCTTTGGCGAAGTGGCATAGGTCAAAACCAGGGCAAACCGAACGTTTTGAGCTTTTTATCAACAAACATGAAGTACACTTATTTAACAACATAAATCTAGTTTATTTTTCTTATTTAATTTTACTTAGGTGGTTCTTGTTTTTTTCCAAATGTTTAGCTTTGCAATGCATACACGGAGTTGAATGATCCTGTCGTACAACGTCAGCGCTTTGATGAACAACTGAAGGTAACCTAAACTGTTACCAGTTCTGTGAATTGGTGGTAACATTAATTGGATTATGGAGGAACTTTTTCTGATAAAGATGTTGGAATATCAGGACCGGCAGTCGGGCGATGATGAAGCAATGGCTTTGGATGAAACATTTTGTACCGCTCTCGAGTATGGATTGCCACCAACCGGTGGTTGGGGATTGGGTATTGATCGGCTGGCTATGTTATTAACGGATTCACAGAATATCGAGGTTTTCTTTCTGTCCATCTCTTTTTGCTTACTGCTTACCATTGCTTACTGTACGAGATTCAGTAGTTTGATGTTATTCAAACAGGAGGTTCTTCTCTTCCCAGCGATGAAACATCAGGATGAACCATCTGTGAAAGGTAATTAATTTCCGTTTTCTAGATTCTGGATGTGAATCTATAATATTGTTAGAGTTTTGTTTTCGGCTTGACGAAGAGCATATTAGTATTTCTATCAGTGATCCATATGCAATACCTACAAAGCCGAGTCCTGTGAATTTTGTTTTCAAATTCATGATTAGTAATCATGTTGATTTTGTCAATCAATTTTCATCTGTCATATATGTGTGTGTATATATATATATATATTAATTTGTGGCATAATTCTTGATGGTTTTAGCAGCTCCGGTGAGTTCAACGGTGCATGCTGCGGTAAGAACTGTTGAAGTTTTTGGTTAAGATTTTTTTTTTCTCCCGAGATGGAGTTTTGCAGTTGACATTCAACCCTCTATAAGTTCAGTGTAGGTGATAGGCCACCTTACTTCTATTGTTTACAAATTCGAATTGCTTTGATTAATTTAATTCCTTTGCCATATCGAACGGTAACAAAATATTTAAAGAAATTTGAAATTGATCTCGTAGTGTGTTTTTATCATTTTCACCCTTCGAAATTGGATTGAACCGGTTTGTTGAACTAACCGAATGAAACAAAAACTGATGGCTTAACTGATCCATTACACTATATGGAATTGTGCATTATTTGAATAAGAGGAAAAATCCCTTAATATAATGCTTCATAATCCTGGAATAGGAAAAGGAAAAATAGACAGACCTCAGCCTCGATTTGCCTATTGTGGGTAAAAAAAGGAAAACTAGATTTGTACACGTCATGACTACCGAACTTTAAATTTTTTTAGTAGAGCTTTCTAAATTCTTAACGAAATGAGTTCTATAAATATTTCTTCGAACCTGATCAAACTAAATCCTAGATATAAAAGCTGTGGGCATGGAAATACGACCTCAGTAAATTCTTCAACCACAGCGGATTCAACCAGGGGACATTAACTTACTATGCAGTATTCAACGACGTTGACGGTTTAAATATAACGTCGTTCGACGTTTTTATCCACAAATAAGGGTTCAATTACGCCACATTTCAATTTTAGCTACCAAGAGCGGCGTGTGCAGTTTCGTAAATTCATGCCCGGAAGATTTCTTTGCCTGGAACAGCTTGAAATATGTGACACGCCTAACTTGGAGGGATGGACGAATGAAGAAAAACAAATTCTTCACCGTTGTTGACGAATCGTCAGGTCCCCTGTAACAAATGAAGCAAAACGAGATGCTACTGCGCTTAGTCATCTACCAACAATTTCCTCTTTGGTCATTGGAAAATTTAAGCTCCACTTCTTAACTTATTACTTTAAAAGTTTATTCTCTATGGAGAAACTGACATTGTATGATTGCCATCATTTGGATCGTCTATTTGAGGACAACCAAGCATCATCTTCTCTTAAACATTCGAGAATTCTGTACTGTGATAGACTGATGTCATTGCCTTGGTACCTAAGATCACTGCCTTCCCTCCAGAGATTTGATGTTATGGAGTGTGGACGACTGAATCGCATTTCTGTTTTGGAGTCCCTTAATTCTTCACCCGCAATGGATTCAACCGCCACACATTCACTTACTATGCAGTTTTTCAACGACGTTTGATTGTTTTGTCCACAAATAGAATGGCGACGACTGGTTCATGGTTGCACATCTAACCCGTATGTGGAAATAGAACACAGAGATGGTTCTTGAAGATGACTAGAGAAAGAAGAAGCCAAATGTCGACTATATCTTATGCAAGTCAACTGCAGATCTTTCAACTCAAAGGTAAGTTCATCATGTTACACTCAAATACACCTTTATGAAGATGCATAACAACTTGAGATGTAAAACATCTTTAGCGTTTTTGCATTCTGGATTACATACTGGCAGTAAAATTTAAACTTTATCAGTGTTGGTTTCATATGGTTACCACATCCATTCAAAACTTCACTTCTTGTTTATTATACAGTAATCTTTTGCGAAGTTCATATAGTACCTGCAATTCAAGCATTCAGCTTCAAACCTCCGTGGCAAATAGCTATCTCAAGCTATTAATGTTTCCAACCATCCATCCATCCATACCTGTTTTTCTCCTGCAGTAATGGAGCTGTTGATACCTTCTGAAATTCATATATACAGATCCTAATGTCAGTGGCTAATGGTAATTACAGTTGATGCTTCCATTGTTTCATTCAGACACGTTTTCCATTAGACATTACGGAGCAGTGTGTTTTGTTAAGCTCTTCCCTCAACAAGGTACATACCATTTTGCTGGTTTTCACGCAAGTATTTTTCTTAAGTTGAAAAGACCACGAACGTTTTGCCTTGTTTTCGTGGTAAATATCAATGCCGATTTAGCAGTGTTTCGGTTTCAGCGACGGAGGCCATGATATTCCGCTGTATTCAAATATCACCGCCGTCTTCTTATGTGACATTGATGCTTTTACTTCTTACAAAATATATTAACCAACCTAAACATAGCATAAGAAAGTTTATATACCTCTAAACCATGTTACTCGGATTCAAGCGAGAATGTTACATACGGGCATCGTTCCCACTCAAATGTATATAAATTAATAAATATATTGAACTATATCCGAGTATGAGACTGTCTAATTTGCATGGCATGCTTATGCTACCTGTGTAATTAACATAATGTTAATGAACTATGTTCATTTAACTCGACGATTGTCTGATTAAGCCACTGAGAATAGCTAAATCACACTTTTGGACACAACACAATAGCATAATACCACTATAATAACTAAAATACGATACAAAACATGATATGGAAAAAATATAAAACCAACATAAATGCATGAATCTGACAATTTATATAACTCGAATTATTAACGTGTCGATCTTTTTATGAATATAAATTATCTTAAAATCGATTATGACACGAGTAGAAGAATTTGTACGTCTAGCTAAAACAACAAACGATTGTATGTTTACTCCCTCAATTCTCTTTTTCCTACGGAAAAACAGGGGGGAAACAATAAAAGAAGAGATGAGCAAAACCCCAAAGTCATACAAAACAAATGAATCCTACATATCAAACTGGTAAATGGTGACTGCAAAGTATCCAGGTTTAAGTAGTTTCACCGATATCATGGTAAAACCACGTTTTCTTTTCATTTTTCATGTAGCACCGGAGGCAGCCTCGGCGGCCTTTTTCTCCTTTTGTTTCTCCCTTTTCTTCTTGTTTTTTAGTGCATTCTTGCTCATTTCACTATATTATCACGGCAATACTTGTGAGTTTCGGAAAATATGGACATCAAAGACAGTATTGATGTATGGTAAAATTAAAATAGAAGTAAACTCACCCTGCAGAACTCCCGCCAAACAACTGCAATTACAAAATCATTAAGATAGTCAAGATCACTAGAAAGAAACTAAAATATAGGAATATGAATCCTAATAAGGTATTCCTATGGGCAAGTTAGCTAGAATGAGCGGACTTGGGAGGTGCAAAGTCTCATACACTATATTTATACTCGAGTCCTTGAAAGGTCATATCTGCATACCTTGATACCCGTATTTGAAAATGCGTCAAACACAGGTAAGCCATAGGTTATAAAATCAGGAAGTGTTTCACTTGCAGGGTGACTGTAACTGTGACTAATACGATACTTCCCAAAATTGATCCCATTCTAGCTTTCATGATTTCAACCTGATCTTCAATGACATGGTCTATTAACAAGGTATACTTCCAAAGTTGATATTTTTGTCTTTTCACCACTTTGTAAAATCTTGTCATTTAGTTTCTCGTTTATATGTTGCATTCATTCAAATTGCTATCGTAGGATACCCCATAGTTGTCAGAAAATACCTCTGCCTGAACTGCTGCTGCATTCTTAGCATGCGGAGGACGATAAGCAGCAGGCTTCTTTGCAGGAGGGTTGACCGGTGAAGGCTTTTTGGAGGTTGACCCTTGTCCTGGAAAATGATTAACTATGTCAACACGTCTAAAGTCAGAACTTGGTAGTCAAAGCTATGTTAATTAGATTAGAATGTCACATACGGATACTTCCAAAAAAATGAAAAGTCAAAGCAATATAGAAGCAACTTATGTTTGAGAATTTGAAGAAATAGGACCTTGTGATTTGGTTTCTTCAACCTTCAAGGAATCAACCGACTTCATAAGTTCAGCAATTTCACCAAACTTTTCAGGTGACTCCGGCTTCCAATCAGCCTGCATGAAGAATATCAAGTAACGAAAAGTACACACGAAACCAGTTCACGAAAAGAGCACTAAATAATCACAATACTCACCTGGAACAACTTGTCAAACATCTTCTTAAAGAACAATGATCCATTGTAGTTAAAAAATTTAATACTTCAAAAACAGCAGAATCAGAAATTAGTAAGTGAATCATCAGGTAAATAACAGTTATCCTTGAATATGGTCAAAGAGTAAATATGAAATTGACACCGTCTATTCACATATTCAAGGTTAACTAGTCATAAATATGACGGTGGAATGTAGATTTTGGAGCTCTAATATACCCCAATAAATCCTTGTTATAAGAAAATGACAACAATCACATACCAATTGTCAACTTGGAGTCTGGGAGCTGTTGTGGCAGTCATGAAATAGCGTCCATCCGCAGACCACTCACTTGTTACCGAGCATTCAGCCCTAGTAGTTCCAAGCTGCTTTTTACCCACAAAGTCCCAGAATGCCTGAAGCGTAAAACTTAATATTAGCTGCATCATGAATGAGGGTGAACTGACTCGGAGAAAAAAATCCCTGGGAACCACCCAAATACCAAACTCAACTCCACCAGGTAAATACTTGGTAAAACAACATTAGGATGAAGCAAATAAATCATGGCAGACAAGAAGATCGATAGTTAAAAAGAATACAGCAAATAAAGTGTATACATACCATATCACCAGGCAAGTTACCAAAACCAGCCAAGCACAGTACTGTATATCATAGACTTAAGGCTACAATTTTGTATGGTCAAAAGTACAATGAACAGATGATTAAAGCTCATTAGACAATGTAAACAGGAAGAAAAGCATGAATTATTTACAAAAGGATACATTTCCCCTTTGGATTCCATCGAACGGTATTGTAAGGACCAGATCCCAGCTCAAGTAATGGTTTGCACTTCTTGTCAAATATTGTTGCATTTGCAGGCATAACTGAAAGTATGTCAAGGGGCAGTTGCAAAAAGGATTCATTGAGAATGAAGTGAAAGGCTAGCCCTTGTTACCATACAATTTATATATCAGATACACTTGTTTGACATGACTCATTATATATTTGTATTTGAGGGTAGAGAGCATATATAAGGAAACACATACAAAACTTTGAGCACGGCCAGTTAGTTGCATATAAAGTCTCACTAGAGCCAAAATCTAAGCAAAACCAGCTGGATCGAACTGCATTCTGTAACAAATTTACACAAATTACAGACAAAAGTTAAACCATGAGTAATTTCAACTTAGACCCTAGAAACATCGAAGAAAATTTCTTGACTATTTGTATGTAATGCACTAGAGGGATCTATCTGTACAAAGCAAACTCCTTCCCAGTAAGGCCCTCCAAGAAAAGGATACATCCATAAACAACAGCAAACTCCTTCCCAGAAAATGACCACTGAACATCATGAATGGGCCCCTCCTTCCCTGCCAATAAATGTAACAAAGTCAGAAAACTGTATGCATGGTGAAGCAAAAAAACATTGCTTTCTGACTGAAAAAAAGAAGCAGAATTTTTATTAACATACGGAGAGGAACAAGCCCTTCAAAGGTCCCATCAGTGGTAAGGTAGTTCAGCTTTGACTCCCCATAATAGCTCTGGTTAGTCTTATCAACATCGGATTGCACCACAACTAGAAGTCCTGTTGAACAACGATTCCAATTTAACTGCACTGTAGAACATCGAAAAAAGCTTCTTCGAGCAAGAGGTTGGCTCTGCAACTCTTTCTCGCAGGGATATATCTGGACACTAGCTGGACTCCCCTGCAACCAAATCCAAAAGTTTAAAGAGGTAGACTCCCAAGTACCATTAATAGTTTTGACACACCAGCTGATTACAACACAACTTATTGGTAACTTCAAGGTACTTTATATGGAAAATTTCCGACATAGTAGCTCTTCAAGAGTTGCTTTCCACAAGCTGAATTGGTCCCTTTTTTTTGTCAGTTATCAGCATCTAACATCCTTAAGACTCCTTTGTTCTTTTTACTAATTGACCTCAAATACTTGATTGAAGCCCTCCTCCTCCCCCCCAAAAAAAAACCCAACTTTTGCGATTAAATTTGACAAAGTTCCATCGGGAAAACCCAAAGTACCAGCTTTCAATAAACTACTAATGAGTAAATTGAAACTCAAACGTCCAGATTTAATCAAAGTCTCACAAAATGAAATAATCTGATCCAATCTAATCAAATCATATTTATTATAAGCTTTTAATTAACTTTGACAAGTTCCTCTACTGTCACAAATGAACCAAATTGAAGTTCAAGCGTTCAACTTCAAGACACAGCATGTCAATAGAATAATCAGAAAAACATTAAATCAGGAAAGATGATACCAATCCTAGACACTTCCCAGGCTCTTTCTTTTCATGACAAGAAACTAGAAGCTACAGGAAAACCAACCTTAGATTCTGGAACAAATGCTGCCACATGGGACCCAGGAGCCTTGGAAAGCTCCACTGCAGCAACCCCAGGAATTCTTAGCCGATGCAAAATTCCTTTAGAGAAATCTGCAGGATCAAAAAACTGTATTTCATTTGTAGCAAGCCGGCATGCAACAGCTTCATCAGAAGTGAACCGGATCGATGGCCTGCGACACAGATTTACACGTAAGTTAACATAGACATGCCAGAGAAGAAGATATGGGGTGTTAGAAGATGCCAAATTGGAGAATTTTAGTGCCCCAATTAGGCATAGTTCTAAGAACATCTGGATTGAACAATTAGAGTTTTGTTTATTTTCTGGTAAAGTTAAAAAAGATTCATAGAAACTGTTGCAACAACAACAACACGTAATGTAATGTTATGCAGCCAAAATATGCATGCTCATATATTATACCATGTTGCTTTTGTCATGTTTTTCTGAAACTGCTGGTAAACAGCATCCCCGGTCTCTACACTCCATAAGACCACATTCTTTTCCTGAGTTGTAGTAGATTTCTGAAAGGTTTGAAGATAAGTCCCGCATGGGGACAAGGCAGAAGCGACATGCGGGATCTGAAAACATCTTATCTCTTTCAAGGTGCTGGAATCATAAATACTAATAGCACAGTCAGTTTTAGTCACCATAAGCCTCGAACCATCGTCACTAAACTTGGCACTAGTGCAAGGAACTTTTTCAAGCCTAATCCCAGGTTGATTATTGTTATCGAATGGAGGTCCATTCCAGATTGAATATCCATCCGGTTCTCGAACTACAATAATTCAAAAAAAAAAGGAGAAAAAACATATTACATACAGACTGAATTCTAAAGAGAAGCATAGTTATTAAGTACCTAAAATCTCTAAAACCGATGAAGTTTGCGCAGATGCTGCTGCCATTGGAGGCTTAGATAAGAATAACTGCAAAAACTCAATGTCAGAAACAATTCAAGAACAATTATTTTAAACGAAACTGCACTTCATTCTTAGTTTACATTAAACAGACAACCATACAAGCACATCAACGATATTGTTAAAGCTTGAAACAAAATAAAGAATCAATCTTCCAATAAAATTTGATAAAAATAATAGGAAATAATAAAACAAATTGAAAATCTAATGCTATATTCAATTGTTTCTTTACTACTTTCTTCAACCTAAATCACTGTAAAATTGAAAAAATGGTAAAAAATATAAAAAAAAATTAACACAAAAAAGGTTCCGATTTTTTTTTCTTACCAAATTCTTGAGAAGAGGGGAAGAAATACTGATCGGATGAGAAACCGACGTAGTAATGGCGATCTATGCTGCAGTCGAACCCTTCACTTGCAAATCAGCTACTAAAAACTTGCGATCCGTCTTCGGGAGTCGGCTACATACATGTTGCTAATTGCATTCAAGATGAACGACGTCATTTTATGTTTCTAATGCATTTTTACTTTTTAGGGCAAAGCATACATATAATTCTTTGATTATATAATGTTATTTTGTTGAGTACTCTAATTATTAAAAATTATAAAATAATTTTTTGATTATAAGATACTATTTTGTTGAGTCTCCAATAATTAAAAGTTACAAAAAAATCACTCAATTATTATTATATTTCAAATTTATCATTTTCTATTAAAATTAACATTCATTTGAGCTAGATTTTAACATGTTCACTAGAATATGATAAAATTTGATCTAGAATCATTTGAAATGTATTTTATAAATCGAGTCTCTATTTATATTATGTCATCGAGCAGTGCTTGAAACATTATGTTATCGTGTTAGTTCTTGAAAGCAACAACAGTACTAATAGACATCATTATATCTCAGTCAACATGTTAACGTTCAAATCAAACTACTATCAAATTTTTGACTAAAAAAGATTAATTTAGAATATATAAATAATTAAATGATCATTTTGTAACTTTTAATAATTTAATAACTCAATAAGTAAAGATTATTTGGTTCTATGCCCAACTTTTTTTTTTATAATTTGGGATGTATTTATTTTTCGTAATGATTTGGTCAAGAATTCTAGGTCCATTTTTGTTTACAATGTATTAAAATTTAGGGTAAATTGTAGTAAAAACCACTCAACTTTGGATAAAATTTCAAATGAATCACTAAGTTTCAAAAAGTTATTAACATTTCACTTTAAATTAATTGTTACGGAAAATGTCACTTGACCTTTAAGTGTAACAAAAAATTTTTTTTTAGTTATTATTGAGTGTCTTGATTGTAACAGTCAATAAATAAAATAACTAAATCTTACAATTGATAAATAAAATGATCTGATTGTAACTAAAAAACATATATTTTAATTTTAACAATTGAGTGTTATATTTATAATAATTAATTAATTGAATTACTTGTTTTTAATTTTTGAAATTTAGAGATCTATCTATAATCTTACTATATATTTTACCCTACAATTTTAATAAATTTTAAGATGATAATAATTTATATTACAATCAGATTCTTATCAGTTATTTTCCAGGGAAATTTTCCTTTTGGGTTACTAAGCTATTGAGGTGGTTTTATTTTGACCAATGAACTAAAAATTATATCAATTAAATGACTAAACTATTAAAATAATTTTAATCAAATCATCTTAATGGAATTGCAGATATCAGCAAACTCAAACTTGTTTTGTTAACCGATCATTTTAGATAAAGAGTTGAAGTTGTTTTTAAAAAACCGAAATATCAATCGACTTGCTACGAAAGATTTGTAATCTTGATATGCTGTTCCGTAGAACAAGATACGGATAAATCAATGGATGACGAGCTCCAACAACTGGTGCCACTTTCCCAAAATGCTGCACTACTTGGATCAAGGCCTTGAGTTCATAGTTTTAAATTGAGGTTGTTGTTGTAGTTTCGGTTGTGGATATTGTAAACATTACGATTTGATTTATTTCTTAAAATAAACTACGATTTTATATAGATGACATGGTGATCTTGAAAAATGTTATGACGTGACCGTGACCGTAATTTAATACTATGATTTTCCCCTCCACTCTGTACAGCAATCAGTTTGCAGTTTGCAAAGGATGGAGAGAAACGAGGAGTTGTTGAAGAAACAGTGAAGATTCGTATCTTTGAGAAGTTGAAAGAAGTGGAAGTGAAGAAGAACGGCTTATCCAGGACTGGTATTCCACACAGAATTTTCCAGGAAAACAAAAGAAGTTTCTCTTCCATGGTTGAACGCATCAAATATAAATTTATAATTGAAACTATTCCAAAATGTAAAATTACATAGAAATAGCATATTAACACAACACTTTGTTAAACGGATTACAACCGGAAAGACAAATTACCTATGAAGTTTTGGAAGACAGTTTAAATGCTAAACCAGAGTTAGCCAATTCCTCTTGCATAAGCTTCTCCAAGCGTTCAACCATGGCGGGTGTGAGATAGTTCAATCTCCCACTTCTCCTTTCCTGAAGAAATTTTCGTTTGGGATTCCAGTAATGAACAAATCCTTCTTCTTCACTTCCAGTTCCTGCAACTTCTCAAAGCTACAATTTTTCGCCATTTCTACGACTCCTTGCTTCTCTTCCTCCTCCGTGAATGGAACTCCCAAGAACATGGCCAAGTGTTTCAGCTGGGAAATGATGTCTTCCTTAAGATTTTCATATTTTAGAAACAATATCTTGTTTGGATTTTCTCGGCCTGCCTTCCAGTAACCCAGAACCTGATCAAAAAATGGCCCATTTATAAAGATTCCACGGCTGAACTTGTCAAAAACTTTCTTCAGTGAGAGTGACTCGGTTTTCTTCTCCAAGCTTGTCGGTGAAACGCCAAAGAGAAATGAAAACATCCATGGGATTTCTACATAAGTAAACGATCTTACAGTGGGAATCTTTAATGGAAGTGGGCAAAGAAGCATAAGGAACGTGGGTGGCAAAAACCCTAAGCTTATAAACACAAATGCCTTCGAGATCGGGACAAGGGTTGTTCAAGAAAACATCAAGCTCCAAGAAACTAACAAGTTGGTGGGGAGTAAAGTTGAGCAATGGATGTTCATGTCCATCATCCTTTTCAAATTGATGGCGGTACAAAGTGGAGAAAGTCAAGGCCTTGAGCCAAGTAGTGCCACTTTTTGGGAAAGTGACGATGAAAACATCGGAATCAAATGCTTGGAATTGTGCCTGGAAAGAAATCAGACTTTAGAAAAAGAGCAGTGCACCAAAAGCCTTGATAGAGATAAAGATTGGACACTCTCTAACCTTGTTCTTTAGGGAGGGTGTGCACCAGTTGTTGGAGCTCATCATCCATTGATTTATCAGCATCTTCGGTTCTCGAAACAAGTTTGGTTTTCTCATCTCTGTATCCATAACAAAACCAGCAGCGAATCCAAAAATTTTCTCACCTGAGCACCAAATCAACGCTTGGCTCCAGCTAAAATTACCTACTCCACTTGGTCTCAACATATTGAACAACCCACATCTACTCTAAATTAACTAAGGTTTTCTGTCCGTTTCACGCAGACAACTTGAACATTGAATATTAGTAATTCCATCAACTAAAAAAATTTCTAGTCAGTTAGTTAACTAGTCTTATTTTATAGTGATCTAAAATTTATTCAATACTTTTTCCATTAAAATCAAATTTATGAAATTTGAATCAAATTTTTTATTTAAATTTAATTGTAAATATTCTTCACCGTCAGTCTGCCTATATTCAATGTTCCAGTTGCATGTGGGAAACAGACCAAGAGAACCAAGAAGATAGTTTTCGAGTGTTCTCCTTCTTCATATCATTTTCTCTATTTTTTTTTTTTTTGGGGTGGGGGGGGGGGAATTCTTCATCCCTTTTTCGACTGGCTGTTGGTTTCATCATGGATACATCAGAAATCAACAAAGCCAAACTTGTTTCACTAATCCTAGATGCCGATAAATCAGGGGATGAGGAGCACCAACAACTGTGATTTCTATGCATCCCTGGATGGTGGTTTAAAAGCTGTGACTTATATGCAGAGGCATTTCCAAGCATTTGATTCTGATGTTATCGTCTCCGGTTTACAAAAATGTGGCACTACTTGGCTCAAGGCCTTGACTTTCTCCACCTTGTACCGCAACCAGTTTGCAAAGGATGAACATCCATTGCTCTCCTTTAATCCTCACCCACTTTTTCGTTCCCTTGAGAGTTATTTCTACTTGAAAAACCCTTGTCCCAATCTGGAAAATATTAGTGTTTACAAGCCAAGGGCTTTTTCCACCCACCTCCCTTGTGCTTCCTTGCTCGCTTCCATCAAAGATTCCAACTGTAAGATTGTTTTCGTGTGCAGAAACCCGATGGATATGTTCATTTCTCTTTGGTTTTTCCTTGACAAGGTTAGAGACAAAAGCAAAGAGTTATTACCACTAGACGAAGCTTTCGACAAGTTCTTCCGTGGAATCTTTCCGTTTGGACCGTTTTTCGATCACGTATTGGGTTATTTGAAGGCAAGCAGAGAGAATCCCAATAAGATACTGTTTTTAAAATACGAAGATCTTAAGGAAGACATCGTTTCTCAGCTGAACCACTTGGACGTGTTCTTAGGAGTTCTATTCACGGAGGAGGAAGAGAATGAGGGAGTTGTTGAAGAAATAGCCAAGATTTGTAGCTTTGATAACTTGAAAGAGCTGGAAGTGAACAAGAAGGGTATAAACGAGTCTTTTGGGATTCCATACAAAGCATATTTCAGGAAAGGAGAAGTGGGAGATTGGAGCAACCATCTCACACCCGCCATGGTTGAACGCTTGGAGAAGCTTATGCAAGAGAAATTGGTTTAACATTTGAACTGTCTTCCAAAACATCCAAGGCGTGATCATGGGGCGTCTGTCCTCTTTATCTTTGATATTTGCTTGCCGAGAACCATCCACTAATTTGCCTTTCCAGTTTCCAGTTGTAATCCGCGTTAGAGTTCTCTATTACGTTGTTTAACCAAAGTGTTCTGTTGTTAGTCTTTTCCTCCTTTGCACACTATGGTAACGGGTGAGGCCCAGCCCATAACTATATCTTTCTATTTGAATATTTTAAAATTTCACTTGAATTTTGATTAAAATACGCATGTAATCTGATATATACGAATATATATATCTATAATTTTATTTTCATGTAATAAAATAAAAATTTAATTATATATATATATATATATAATATTATAACAATTATTTCTCTCTCTCTATATATAAATCATTTCTCAAGTTTAACAATATATTAATAGTGTAAGGCTTTTAAAAATCTTACTTATTTTTATGAGCTTTGTTTATTTTATTTAAAACATAATATAACAAAAATAAACTAACTAAATTATTTGATTTGTTTACAATCATAGTGAATTCACGTATTTAATTATAATGATGACTCTCGTAATTTATTTTACTTCATTCACAATTTTAAGATAGAAACTCATAATTTATTTAAAACATCACTGTCTTGTTTCAGTACTAACTAGTTCTTGATAAATTCTTGACTGTTTGAATAGATGGTTAGGTTATCTTAATTTTTTTCTCTTTCTAAATTTTTTAAAAATAATAATAAGGTACTTAATATCATTTAAACAATATTTTTTTTGACAATCATTCATTTAAACAAAATTTATAAGATTACTTTTGTATGAAATATATAGATTATGATAGTTTTAAATATTATTTAGAATTAATTATTGATATTCGATCTATTGACCAATTAATTTAGTTAATATTTTGTAAAGGCATATTTTTAAATATATAAACCTATTTAATTTAATAATACATATCATTTAATTTCTTTTTTCGTGTCATGATCGTTAAAACAACTTAAATTATATATGAAATATATAAATTCTTATATTTTTTAATATTTGAATAAGCTAAATTATGATACTTGAATATCTCAATTATTACTTTTGTTCTGTTTTAGTCACCCAACTATTATTTTTAAAAATTATATCTAATATTACATGTTGATTTTATTTTGGTCACCTGTCATTAAAAATTAATGGAACCACTGATGTGATAATTTTAAAAAAATTCAATAATGATATGACATTATCTAATGGTATCACGTTGGCATTACCATTAATTTTTTAAAGGTCGATGATCAAAGTGAAAACCAAAACGTAACGTTAAGTATGATTTTGAAATAAAAAATAGTTTGCTGATTGAAATGAAATAAAAGTGATAGTTGGGGTACTAAACTTGTAATTTGCCATATATTTTAATTATTTTTAGTGTAATTATATATATTTTTAGTTTGGGTAAAGTACACAAATGGTTCTTCGACTATAGGGTACTGCTTTGTTGAGTCATTCGATTATTAAAAATTACAAAATGGTCACCCAACTATTCATATGTTCAAAACTCATCATTTTCCGTTAAAAAATTGATGGTCATTTGACATTTTGTTAACATTTTGATTGAGATATGATAAAATCTGATATTAGAATTGTTTGAGTTATATTTGTGGTTCGATTATGCATTTACATTATATCGTCAAGTCAATGCTTCAAACATTATATTGTCGAACCAGTGCTTGAAAGTAACGGTGGTGCCAATAAACATCATTAAAATATGATTTTATTATATCTCAATTAACATGTTAATGTTCAGGTCAAATAACTATTAATTTTTTAACGTAAAATGATGAGTTTGGACCATATAAATAATAATGTGACCATTTTATAACTTGAACTTAACAAAATAACTGCATATAGTTATGAGATTATAACCGAAAGATTATTTGTGTAATTTGTCATTGTAATTTTATACTAAATTAGGAAAAACAAGTAATTGCAATTTTCAAGTACAGAGCGAGTTGGATTTATGACAAAATCAGTGATTTGTAGATATCAAAACCGTGTGGGTCCCGTCCCCTCTTCCTATTTGGACATTGGGCAAAATTACGGTTCCCGTATACGTCGTGAAAATCTTTATTAATGTTTTACTGAAGGAAAAACACAACAAAATGGCCTTTTGGACTTTGGGTGTTGATCGTTTTTGTTGAAAAAAAAAACAAGAAAACTGTATCACAAAAGCCTTAAACTTTGTCTTTCCATTAAAAAAAACAACCCTTTATGTTGAATTTGGGTGCCCTCTTAAGTTTTGAAAGTTTCTCAAAGCACAAGAACTAGAGATTTCTTTGCTTTGAGATGTGTTTTGGCAATGCAAACTTTAGGTTCTTGGTGAGTTGCTTTACTCTATCCATTTCCATTTGGCTTTTTCATGGTGTAAGCAAACTGTTTGAATAAATGTTTTGCTTGAAAGTATCTTTATAATAATCATAGTTCTGTTAAGTAAAACAATCTTTGGGTTGGTATCATTGAGTTATTATTTGGACTTAAACTGAAGGAATTAGAAGATTACAACTGCAAATCATATGTTTTTTATGGTTCACTTATGCATGATTTGGAGCTTTCTCCACCGTCCAATTTGATCATTGTGCCTAACTTATTCTTATTCCATGAATTGTTTAATTTAGTTTATTTTTATGTTAGTAGGTTACAGTGTTCTTAATTGATTCCTGCAACTGTTGTCTGTTTGTGAGGCTACATATTAATATAATTATTATGGTGATATTGTTTTTTAATGATGTTTTTGTGATTAAATTAAGGAATGGGGGTGTTTTATAAAATTATATGTCTACTTGTATATGAATAAATCATTATCTGCTGACTAAGGAAGCTGATGTTTTCCGGTTTATCATATTCAAACGATGCCATTGTGTCTCTTGCAGTTGATAAACAATTGTTTTTTCTTTGAAGGTTTGTACTTGGGATGAAATGAAGCTGATTTCTGCCCTCAAATTGGTGTATTTTTTTTTTTATCTTGGATGCATTTTCGCTATGTTACTCGGACTTGAGTGGTAGTTTGGATACGAATATACTTCCAACATATACGAGTATTTCAAGAAAAATGAAGACTCGGAACAATATAGTTTCTCTGATCAAAATAAGTTTAATTGTCGGTCAACTATTTCTCCTTGGCTCCCACCAGTCAGCATACACGGGTGGCCTTTTTCCATAATATATATATATATATATATATATGTATGTATATGTATATATGCTTTTATCCACTGACCAAAGCCAAAGGGAACGATCACACTTCTAAAGAAGGCTTTGAGCGCTTGGGTATTTTTATTTAGCCTTTCAATTTCGTCTGGTTTAAATAAGGGTTGCAGTATTGATTGTTTTATTAGCTTTGCTCTTGCATTTTCTTTTGTTACACATTTGGTTGAGCCTAAAGTTTCTGGAAAATATGGAAGATTCATGTCGAATTAGCAGAACATGCCGAATGTATCAAAGTTGAGAAATTATGATTAGATGGTCTTCTGCTATTGCAACGGATGTTATATAAGCAATCATGATCTTTAAGTCTAGTTAATTTGTTGTTTCAAATGTTCTTTGATTATCCTTTTCATCGCTATTCAATTGAATGAATAGAATTGGATCCACGAGATCGCTGAACTTGTGTGCTGTCTGTTATTACTTTGGTCTGTGATTCGTTTTTCTTTTTTTAACTAGTGAAGAAGAGATAGATATCAGAACAGCGATGGAAAACAAACGGAGTCCTTGCTCTGTTGGTCATAGCGGCTTCACTTCTTTGGCATCGAAACGACAGAAGTCGAAAAAGGTTTTTAGCCTTCTTTACTCTGTTCATTTGATGTCTTAATATTGATCTTAATTCACACTTTTTGGCAATAGGATCGGAAAGATCAGATCGGTGAACGGATTGTCGCTCTGCAGCAGCTTGTTTCACCATACGGGAAGGTACATTTTGCAATGAACTGTTACATTTAGGGTGGCTATGCTTTCTGTATGCTGCAACTGACATAATCCTTTTAGACGTTTTTGTCAATCGTTTCCGGGGAAGATCGGCTCAGAAGTCGAGTCTTATATTTCACATCTGCAAATATTCGTTTTTCTTTAGTGTTTACCAAGGGTTTTACTGGAGTTGTCTTCTAAAAAAAGACACGCAGTTGACGATATTGCAGTAACTGTGATTTTATGTTTGGTGCGTTGCAGACAGATACTGCTTCTATCCTCCTGGAGGCAATGGAATACATACGATTCCTTCACGAACAAGTTAAGGTCAGTTTCTCTCGCCTATTTTTACTAATATTAGTTCGTACGAATTGCGAATCTATAATGGTTGCTTCAAATAATCACAATCACAAATAACAGTGAATATACAACATGAAATTGTTCGGATTGTTGGATTAAGCATAAGGTCTATTGATTTATTTTCACATTTTAATATGTAATCTGAGAGCTTTGACAATTTGAGTAGCATAGCTTCTAACAATTTGAGCTTATGGTTCTATGATACAGTCAAGCTTCGACCAAGCATGAAGTGATCTGCTTGGTGTTTTTAAGTGGGAATTTCGGTTTGGTTTTACGGGTTTTTGTGTTCTTTTCGGATGATTTCAGGTGTTGAGTGCTCCATATCTCCAAAACATACCAACAAATAATTTTCCGGTGAGCATCCCTTTCATATAGAGATCACATGACGATGACCTTCTCTGAAATATTTTGTATAAATATCTATATCCGACACACAAGAGACACTAGCTAATTTTAGGGATAATAGTTCAAAAGTTACGATCTGATTTTAGATTCAAATTTTCCTTTCTTTCCAGGCTGAAAGTAATTATTGCCTGAGAAACCGAGGTTTATGCCTTGTTCCGATCTCGTGCACTACAGGAGTTGCTTGCAGCAGCAACGGTGCTGATATTTGGGCTCCCATGAAGACCACATCTCCCAAATATGACAAGGTTATCTCACAAATCAATTGACACTTAACTTTCTTACAAAGGTAACCAAACATTGTGACAAATTTACAAGCCTGGAGCACTAAGGATGATGGTAGGCAAAATTATCTGACCTCGGTTCGATAATCTTGTAATAAAAATGTACTTACACCATGGTATTTTCAAGCCGGTACGGTGGATGCAGTAACAAAGAGAGGTTAGGGGTGTAAAAAGGTCTTATGTTTAAGGGATGGACTTATATAATTTTTTTTACTTATTTATACTTACAGTTAGAAATTTCGGCTAGCGACCGGCCTTGCCATCGCAGGCTGCGTCCTAGGTTCTGTCCAAGACTGCTCAGATCAAACTACATTCATCTTTACTATCGGAACTTTATGGTTTTCTCGACTCAAGTCATGTAATGTAAAATGTATATTGATGAACATTGAATAACACAATAATATACTTCCCTTCGAAAGATAAAGGTTAAGTTACATTATACACCCCAAGGCCTTTTAAAATAAAACCCTAGTACCTCTACGTATTACTTAGATTACGTGTACTAAAAGGATAAAAATTATACAATAAAATCACAGGAAGTAAATTACCCCAGTTTAATACTAGCTGATATTTTGTGTATCTGAGGGTGAGAATGCTGAGTTATTGGTCTCACCACCGGTAGTATGCGACTTGATATATGAGCGGGCGACATCCAACATCACCTCTACCTCTTTCTTGTACTACACGGGACAAAAGTAATAATATAAAAATTCAAGCTCTTTTGCTTATAAAAATAAAGCATGATTATTATCATTAAAAAGCATAGTTCAAATGTTCGACTAGATTTATATCAACCTCGTTGATAGCGCCCGACTTGATTTTCGATTGCATCACACACCATTTCTTAAAATGTGCACCTGCCAAAATTGATACCACCCCATTTATCACAATTGTGATGTTCAGATAGAGAGAATGAAAATTTTCAAACTCTTGACTTTCACCATAGAATAATGCATGCGCCAGCAGCTAAATGTCATATTGGTATAATGGAAAAACAAGCAAAGAACATATAAATCTCTTTCTTTGTCGTTCTTTCTTTTGAGGTAAAGGATATGATTGAAAGACAATTTCTGGGAAACAGTTTTTATAGGAGCATATTGAACCCTTTGAATCGAGGAGTGGGATTTTACGGGATGGGAGAGGGCTAACCCCAATTGTGTGGTTCAAGAACTAATGGATCTTTGTATATGCCCTTAAAAATGATGTCAAGAGATGAAAAGGCAGCAGAAAACCTACCGACTTTTATATCTAAAATAGACGAATTTTCACTGTTGTTCTCCACGCACCATCGGCAATGAACCTGATACAGCACATAAACGTGATAAAAAATAAGTAAATAGTTCTTCCAAGAAGTTTAAACCTAGAACTGCCACTGGAACTCAGAACACTAATGTCTTAATTGTAACATCCAGCTAATACTTACCTCAAAGTAGGTGCCGAATGGAACATCATGTGCCTGCTGTACAGTTTCAAAAACCTGCCAGAAGAACAAAATTGGACTAAATTCAATTAAATGGGAAAAAATTGAATCAACAAAACCAAAAAGAGAAAATATGCAAAATTAAACGGATCTTTTTAACAAAAAGTGAAAACTATCAAGTTCATTGAATAAGAATTGATAAAACGGACGGGAATGATGTCATACAAGCTTTTTCTTATCCGATGATAAAACAGAATGTTGATACTCTGACATGGCAGTGTCTGGAGGACACATGGGACTATTACAAATGGTTCTGAATGTTATCTCTCTCACTAAGCCATCATATTCGTCAGCGGCATGCCACTGTCCCATCTGAAAGTAATGGAGAGTAAGTACAAACTTTCAACTAACCTAAATAGCAAGGAAAAGAAAATTCTTCGGAATATTACCACCAAGTTCGATGAGGGAAAAAAAGGTCAAGTTCATTTATTCATATCATTGAAAAATAGGAGATGATAGCATTTTCAATAATTTCCCAACATTTTTCCAGTTAAAACTCAACAAACCTATTTTACAAAATCAATATAGTTTCTTTGAAGAATTCAAGTGCAGAATAATACAAAAGGCATGTTTAATAGAATAAGATGGAGTAATACTAAATGATATTGGCTTACCGAAAGATTTGTATCCTTCCGTACTGAACGGTACTCGTTAGTAAAACTAGAGTCTTCACTTAATAATAAATTAAAGAACTGCTCAGCAGTGCATGGAAATACATCCTGCAGGAACCATTCATGAATCAGAAATATACCAGTTCACAAAATGATAAAACAGGAAAGGCAGGAAAAGATCTGATGCATACATTGAAGATACCAACAAGAACTTCTTCTTTGATAAAAGCTTGAGATTTTTCAGGTTTAGATGCATTATCTTTGGGAGCCGTAGCTTGCCTTCTACTACCTCTCATGGAGCTGCTATGTGCACGCAATGCTGATTCGGCCCTTTCCTACATAACAATAATACGAATGAAATAAAAGTTTCCTTGAATTGATCAATCAATTTAAAAGGATAGAATTTACACAAAAACAAATCCAAGCAAGGGAAAATATAAAAAAGAAAACAAAGGCATTACTACAAATCAAAAGGTCTCCTTTTTCTCCAACCAGTATATATATCACCATCATTAATCTACATAACATTTCATATTTGCTAAAAAATGCAATATATAAATTGGGTCTAAAAAGAAAAGAGACGACTCGACATTAAAACAGCCAAATTAATTGGATTTTCCTTATATATGCATGCACATTCCCCATGAAAAGATCTTTCAGTTCTGGTCCTACAAAAATCATTACAGCCAAGGTAAGCCAATTCAAAAAAAAAAATCAGTTAATCGTATTCATATAAAAATTTTCTGTTTCTAAGGACGAGAGTAATGTTTCTCATCATATCAAACTAACAATAATCAAGACTAGAGTTCAACAAAAGTTAACAATAAACAAAAGAATCCAAGAATAATTCATAGAGAACAGGAAGAGAACCTTCTTTTCAGCTTCCAACATTGCATGATAGTTCTTTGCTGCACGCTGTAAAGCTCTTAGTGCATGGTTCCTGTTCCAAAATGATGCAAATTTATACCTGACTCTACCTGAAAGGTAAAAGAAAAATAACAGCAACATAAACAAACTTTTAAATAAATTAATGCTAAAACCGATTTCTGATTCTTGCAAAATGAATTCTTCCTATTGATGTGTAATAAACTAAACTTGATCTGTAAGGGAAAGATCCACGAATGCATAGCTGAATTGAGAAAGGGAAATGTCTAGTGTGTAAGACATCAACCTGTACAAATGACCACATGAGCACATAATTTTAAACAGTAGAGAAGAGTGTTCATTCAGAATGTAAATCATAGGATTGCTTCTTTCTTTATTGAAACCAAAAGAAAAGAAAGGATTTTTATTTCTATTTTGGAAAATTTTAACACAATGCAGTAAAAAAGTAAGGAGATAATCTCAATATGAAAAATGAAAATCAGCTAAACGCTAGTATATTGGCCAAAAATTATCCCCATAAAGTAACCAAAACCTCACATTTGGTAAACTCAAGTTGGCCTCAATAAATCATTAATATATAATCTCTTTTAGTTCAAAATACTAAAAGATATAAATCCCTCAAGCTCTGAAGCATTTCGGATAAAAAATTTAGCTGCTCACCATCAGAGCTCCCCAATGGAGGTACACCATGCCCACCAGTACCCATCCGAAGAATAATTGTTATCGCAGGATTAATGAATGCATGCTGACTTCTACGAATCTGCATAAACCACATGAAATTATAAGCATAGAAACATTAAAAATTATCGCTATCATCCTCAAAACAATGCATGTAAGCATTTACAAAATAGTTCTTGTTAATGTCACAAAACAAACTTGAAGAAGTACCCATCACAAGAACAAAGTTTACCTCATCTATATCCCCCAATGGTATCACCACCTGTCATGGAAACAAAGATTGTTAAGATTTGAATCACTGAGCATATCCTTTCAGTTTACAATATACCATAGGAGGTGTTGATTCTATACAGCTTCTTTTGCTCTTGTTATATGGTTTACTTGTTTTCCCCTTTAACGAAGGAGCACAAGGAGATTTTTATGCGTAAAAGTGCACATCTCAGGATTCTACTGTCAGTGAACACACCATTATCTTCAGCATATCTTTTGACAAGGTTACCAAAATTCAATAGGTTAAACCTTGGTAAATTATACACCAAGATGGCAATCTAACCTTCATTTGTTTGGAGAACACATTAGAATGGAAACAGATGTGCCATGCAGAGACATACATACGACCATGGTACAAGAATGATCTCTCAAGTGCACAAGAGTAACTATGCTCCACAACCTGAAAGATACTGTCTGTTAGTTAACCTGCAGCTTGATGTGATGAAATGGGATTGCCAAGAACTCCTGCCTGTTAGTTTTACCGTATAATACCTTGACTTATTTATAAATAAATCTTGTTAGAGATAAGTTCATGAAACTTGCCTCATCTGGAAGGAGATTAAATATTGTTTGTAAAGGCCCTGGCTTTTGGTGAACCACTGTAGGTCCCTGCTTATCTGAAGAAATCCTTCTTCGAGAATTAGTTCCAGTATATCCATTTATACCCCTGTCAGTAAAATTAAACTATTCAATGAAAAATAGTGATGATAAAGTAATTCCACCAGAATTTATCACTAAGTGGGTTCAACATAGAAATAAACAGATTAACACAAATATTTCATTTTAAGAGATAGATATACTGAAAGCTGTAAAATATACCTGGAACAATTCCCAGGGAGTTTTATAGTTTTGATATGTAGACAAACCTGAAAAGAAGTGAAGCCTTTTATTGATCATTTTAAGTAGAAATATTGTAAAAGAGGCAGGAGAATATGATAAAAATGGAATTTGGGAATAAAATATCACCTGTCCTGATGTGCTATCTAAGGTATGCCATACTGCATTACTTTGACCTTCACTGTCAACGGTAACAGTAACTGAACCGAGAACTGCACTCTTCCAAATTATATCCCAGTCATATATGGTCACATTTATCTGCAGGGGGGGATTCTGTTAGACAAGCTGTGCCACAGAGGAAAATAGAGAGGACTGTCAATGGAGTTGTCTCCATTTATTTTTCTCTTCCAAATACATCCTTCATTGAATTACGCTCTCTCATTTTTTCAACAATTATGCAAGTATATTCAAAATAATATAAATAAAGTTCCCTAGATCACAATGCCAAGAATTAGAAGAGGAATACTCAGTCAGATACTCAGATTATAAGGAAAATTCTTGATACCTGGCTTTGAAAACAAAAACATAATCACAATTTGCAGAAGAAACTAAATATACAAGTCCATTTGAAAATAGTTCCTTTAAGGTGTGTTACATGTAGAAAAAGTAAAAAAAAAGAAAAGAAGAGACATTTTTAACAAAAACATATTCTCTCTCTAAAACTAGGAAGAGAACCATCATCAATATATAGTGAAAAATCATTGTTCAAAAGCAGTTATACATCTGCAGTCCAAAAGAACTCTCAGTTTACCTTAACATCAAGAATGACAAAATGTAAATCAAAGCAATAAGATTACTACAATGCTGCTTGTTAGTGATAAAGTATTCTGATTTTAACCAAAAGCACATGAATCGGATCCACAGGGTGTATACAGCATAATGTTCCAAGAAAAAAGCAAAACGAAACATGTCCAGTACTCCATATATAACAAGAAAAAAATATAATGTAAACCTGGACAGGAAGTTGATCTACAGAGAAATTGAACTCCTCTCCCCACATGGGGTTTCTTGAACCAGGGACCATTGAACTGCAACAGTAAGATGAGTAAATTCATAGGAACTGTACATCTATTATAATAATTAAAAAAAGAAGACTTATAAGGAAGTGAAAGGTGTATATCTGGCCATTTATTACTTTTCCAGATAGGCAGGGTGGAAAAGAACAAGCATGGTTATTCCGTCCAACTATATGATTTTAATTATTTACCAAAAGCTTTAGACTCTTATAGTCATATTCATAACCTACTAAACATGCAAATTATATAAACAGTACAAACATAAACCACTAACCTCAAATAGACACTTTTCCCTTAAAGAACCAAAAATGCAAATGCAGCCTAAAAATCTTGAACAAACAACAATTTTGAAAGGTAAAATTAACAAATAAGTTTAAAAATCCTTATAACCAGTAACTGGTAAGGGGGAAAACATAAATCTACTAATGCCAAAATAAACCAAAATACAAGGTGAGATGGGAAATTGGGAATAACATGAAAAAGGACAAAAAGAAAGGTAAAATGCCACATTCCCCTGCAAGTGCTTCTCATGTATGCCACTTGTATAGCTTACTTAATCATAAAAATCTTAATCTTAGATAAACAAGTTTTCTAAAATAGTTAGAAGTCATCAACCTTCATAAACTTGCACTGAGTAAATTATGACAACTAACCTGAATCTCTTTTCGGAACCACAGGTAATTATAGCATAAGGATCTGATGTGCCATTCAAGTTAGCACCAATGAGATTCTTAGCTGCCAGCAATTCCACCTTAGAAACAAAGCAAATGCAGTCTCATTTTGGGTTCAAAACAAGACACATTAAATGAAATAAATTCCCAAAGTACCTTGATTAGATATGGAGAATTAGTTTGAAGATCTCCTTTCGACTGGACTATCTACAAAATAAGTGCACAACTGCATGTCAAAGGAGTGAAAAATTACTCCATGAAAAGAGCACATGCTCCTTTTCATAATGCAATAGAGTAAGGTTGGCAATGTTCAGGTTTCCTGAGATGGGATTGAGTGCTTAAAACAGCTTTGCCCTCCATCAAACAAAACCCCAATTTATGGAAGCTCTATTAACAGATGAAGTTAACATTAACGTTTGGCAAACTCGCCTAAAGTAGTAGCATGAAAAAACAAGTGGCCTCTAGTCTCTTATTCAGTTTTGCACAAAGACAGATAACAGATAGTAAATTAACACCCCAAGTTATTCGTCTCCACAGAGTGCCCAACATATAAATATGGACAACCAAGTAATTAACAAGAATTTAGGCACAGAGAAGCAATTTGAATCAACTGTCACATACATCAATATCTGTCTTCTTGCGAATTCTACCAGCAATAAATAATAGCCAGCATAACAAGAAACTAAGCAACTTAGTGATCACACTGCAAAATTGTATTCCATTTAAGACCACATTGCTTACAAATTGTAAAGTTCCACATAAATAAGACTGATGAGAAAACCCAATGAAAATTCACAGAAAAGGAACCCTTTTTTTATATAAAAACAAGCTGCACACAATATATATAATTTTTTAAATTAAAAAAAAATGCTAACAAAATTTCATCAAACAAGGAACATGAATTGAACTTGTGTGCTAGAGGCCCATTATTTCAAGAAATCAATGCCATTAGAAACACCCCAAAAAAAAAAGAAACTTAAAAACTTACCCAGAAAAGTAGAGATGTAATTGTTAAATTGAACAAAAAAATCAACCATATTAGTAAAGAAAACCTCAAGTTTTGCTACACTCAATATCATCATCTACATGAAAACTCATAAAATAAAAAAATTCACGAAAATAAAACCATAAAAAATCACTCTAAAAAGGTCAAAGAATTGACCTTGTCTTTATCGTCAAGAACTCCATCAGCGGAATTATTCAAAAGCTGCGATCGATCACCGCCTTCGCCATCTTCGCTTTGCAATGCAAAAAACCAATAAGAAACGATCACGAATAGCGACGCCGCCACTGCCACTTTGATCTCCCACCATGAAGGCACCAAATAATCAACCAACACCGCCGTTTCAATCATCATAAATATGTTTTGATTTAAAAAAAAATATTCCTCCTTTTTAAATTTCAGCAACCACCATCTGTACAAAACTGAATTAAAAACACTTTAATCAACATTTTGATCACAATTCAAAAGGGTTTAATTTTAGGGGTTTTTGTTTGTAATTTAGTTTAAAAAATGTGGGTTTTCCTAGTTTTGAGAGTCAAAGATTGAGACTTTTGAACTTGATGAATCTGACTTGGAATTTTATCACCGGGAAAAGATCGTTTTTTATGACGTAATTACCCTTATGTTCTTTGGATAATTAAAGAGAATTTGTGTGTGTTTATGTTGTGGTTTTGGTGAGTGTGAGGGGTAATATTGTTGGATGAATTTGAAAGTTATATAAACCATTGAAAAGTAGTTTTCGCATGTTATGGAAAGAATAGAGTTAATGGGTAAGTTTAATTAATGGATTAGTTAATTTTATATCTTTGGAATTTTATTTGCTTTATTAATAAAACATAAAAAATAAATATTTCCAGAATAGGTGATTAAAAGTTATCATTTGACATCTTATTTTTTTTCTTTGAATTGTGAATTCAATACTTATTAAAAGTTTACTTCTCTCTTTCTCTAGGTAGAATTTATTCAAAAATACAAAGAAGATAAATTATGAACTTAAGGTACTATACATGTAAATAAATAGATGACATGATATGTTCGATGATTTAGATGTGAGTAGTGTTATTTAAAAAATGTATGTGAGCTTATTTAGATAATAAATAGATACTATCATAAATAAGGTTGATCATGTTTTGGGTAAAGTTAGATTTTCGGGTCATCTGAATTCGATTTAGGCATAACACTCTTTCATCTGCCATCTAATTTGATATGGATTTAGGAATGTTCCATCAAAATCAAAATTTGACTTAACTTCTAAAGTAAAAATTTGTACCAGATCTGTTCTAACCCAACGCACATGTATATCTAATAAAATTCTCTACGTTTTTTTATTAGTTAGTGATGAATACAGCGTAATATTTGTTTACAAATCTTCAATAATTTGACATTGAATGTTTATATACCCTTACATACGTGATGTTTGAACTCGAAACCTTGTGATATAACAACAATTTTTTAACCATTAAAATGTTGTTTCATACTATTTGATTAAAATAAAAGGTTGATTAAATACTAGATAACTCAATTTATTTGATAGCAAATTTGATTTGGCATGATCTAATTGAATTTGATAACAAACTCAATTTGACACTTGATTAAACATTTGATGGATCCAGTTATTTATTAACAAATTCAATTAGACAATGATATAATTGAATTTGGACGAATTTTCTAGCACAAGTACCTTAGAATAGATGAGTACAAAATTGGGCTCAACCTAGTTTAAGCTTAACTCCAATTTTGCCCCACAGAATTAGTAGTAGTCAATGCATGCATTCATATTTCATTGAAAGCATATGTTAGGCTCGAAGTAGGGATGGGTCGAAGGGGTATTTAAGAATCGGTCGTATTTTTTAGGAATTTTTTTTTATATTTAGATATTTTTTATATTCTATCGATTATTTAATTTTATATCTCAAAAATTTTATAATTTTCACACCTCTTAAATTTCTAATATAACTTTCGCATTCTTTAACATGAAATTCCATATTTGCCTATGATTGGAAGAATTTAATGTAGAAAAAAGGAAAATAGGTCAAAATTGGAAAATAAACACCTATTTCATCTCAAATTTTCATTAATTCATTTGATTTTTCAAACCTAAGCTTTGAAAATGTTTTCCATGGTTAAACACGTTAGAAGAAACATTAATTAATGTCAAGTTTGGCTAAACAATCATACCTTGTCTTGTTCTTCAGATCATACTGAAGCTGTTTTTCTTTGGATAATTCCATCACAAAAGCAGAAGAAGCTTCCTCGGGGGACCAAAATGACAATGGAACAACTTTAGGGGATGAACTTAACTGTGTTAAGGATGCCACATTTCCATCTATTGAGGAACTTCAGAAACTGCTGGTGGTGCATCGTTCTATTTGCTGTCCTTTTGATTCATTTGATTTCAAGGAATTGATTTTATACTGTCATCTTTTGTAAGCATCCGATTAATAATATAAACCACGCTCAATACTGCTTGAGCCAAAAGCTTTAAGGAAGTCTCCATAATGTGTCGATGTTTTCGTTCGATGACATGATGTATTGCTCCCGAATCGGTATACCACTTGTTTCCGGTAATTCCAATCCCGGTTGCCAACACAGAGTTAACCTGTGCATTCTCAGTGGCCCGTGAACCAGTAGCATCACTATCACCTGTAAAATGTGCTTAAAAATGGGTCATAAGTAAGCTCAGAAATATGATGATTGCAACATGTACTAGTTTGAGCATCAGCTGAAGGCCGTCGTTGTGAAGAGACGCCCTTGAAGTTCTGATCGAATCGATGCCAACATCGATCGACCAAGTGTACCATTTTACCACATATTTGAAACTGGATTTTTGGCCTTCCTCGAAAATGGCCACTACCGTTACCAGCTGTCCGTTGTCCACCTTGATGAGAACTATAAAAAGTTTGATCTCATGGCTGCTGATTGAATGAGCCTTGTTTCCCACTGGTCTTTATTATACCTTGTAACATTCACACCAACCGATAAACATAACGGATCAGACAACCGAGACTTAGCATCAATCAGTACCGAGATGACTCCTTCAACTGTGTGAAGGAATCAACGCTCACCTGTGCATTGCTTGTGTAGGAGATTTGTGCTAGAGTTGCTGTCTGGTGCTTCTGTCAAACTCTGCCCCATAAAATGCCACAAAAAATATATAAAAATAAATATATCTTATAGCACTAAGAATAAAATAATGGGAGGTTATGGGGTTTTGAACCTTTGGCCCATGTAGTGACAGACAATGGCTTAACTACCATGCCATGTTGTTGTTTTTTATTTAAAATAATAGAAGGTTGTTTTATTTTTAAATGTTGGGTGATTACCCATGTTTGGCAAATCTCTCTCTCCCGTGTTTTAAACCTAGTTTCCCCTCACTAGTTGCCGCCCCTCCTCCTCGTCCTTGCTCCAGCCGGTGGTGCACGTCACCACCACCTCCATCAGGTGCGCGCTTGGCCTCCACGAAGCGACCTCGACCAATCTCGCTCCGAAATCGGTCATAGTTCGGACGAATCAAGAAGGGAAACTGACGCCCAAAACCCCGATCGTCGTTTTAATTGTCGATTCCGACCATTTCAACGACTGTCTTGCTTCACCGTCCCCGATTTCAGACTCCTCGTCGCCTCCCGATCAAAACCCAGTAGGTGGGTTGCGTTGATGTTTCGTCCGTCCGCCATGGGTAAAGTCAGATCGTTTAATTTGGATAATATTTCAGTGTTTTAGCTTGAAAACATGTTATCGTTGGTGTTGGTTTAGATTGTTGTAGCTCAGGGAGTAATCGGCTGCCGACCAGACCCTATTTCGTCGGTTCACACGCTCCCACGCGTCGTCGCGTGCACGTGGGTCTTCTCTTCATTCGAGTTTCTTCTAGAAACTGGTCTAACCGGTCTGGACTGGTCTGAACCGATCCCACTCGACCCAAATTGTTTGATCAGACCCGTTGACTTTGACCCAAAAAGTTAAATTTTTTGAAAAGTCATAGTTTATGTTTTTCGATGTTCTGAGTCCGATTCCAAAGTCCGTTTTGCCAAATTCAAACCCGAAAGCCTCTGAATTGACCCGTAAACCTGAAAAATTCATATTTATCTAAGTGTTTTAATTTAGTTAATTGCACTGAATGGTCAAAGACTAATCATTGTTATGATATGTTAAAGGTACTTAGGGATCTCCTGACTGTTTCACTGCTTGACCCGGTTCCTCCTGATCCGCTCGTCCATGAGAAGCCGTGAATACTCGTATAGTTCTGAAACCCTGTTAGTTATTCTGTTTAGAATATTATTCTGAATATAACCCTGTTCTGATATGGCTTAGGTTCCCGTTCAGTCGAAGAGCCCAGTGAAGCTGGTGCTCGATAGATCTTTAGGACTGACCCTATTATCAAGGTGTGTTCCTTATTTGCAGTATAAATGTTTTAAATATCGGTTTGAAATCTCATGTGCACATGATTGTTTTCTCTGATTTGTAATATAATTTTTGATTTGATTTGACTACTGAATGATTTATATGATTCTGGATTTACTGAAATGTAAAGTATGATTGTCCGACTTATGATTTCTGGATACTGGTTTACTGAACTGATAATATGTCTAAACTCTGAATTTCTGTTACTACTGGTTACCATCTGAAAATTGTTTTCTTCGGGGTCTAGGTTTTGGTATGAAGACTCTAGCAGGTTCAGTCGCTGTTGGTAATTCCTCTGATAGGTTCAACACCGATTGGTAATTCCTTATGGACCTAAGTCGAGCCTTGGGTAGGCTCTGCAGCCCTGAGAATTTTCTTGAGTAAGCCTTTGTGGCCCCGAAAATTGTCTTGGGTAGGCTAGCAGGCCTCAATGTACTCCCTTAGGTTGTGCAGTTCTGGGGATTTGCACATGGCGTTTGGTTGGAGGACGATGCGGAGTTTTTAAATTAAAAACTCCTATGATGTTTTAATGACTGTGATCTGTACTGGTTTTATAAATCATAAATGTATGTTTTTATTTCTGCACTGTTGGGACACACTGAGCCTCTAGCTCACTTTTCAAACTGTTTTACCCACTTTCAGATACTCTCAGATAGACACTCCGTATCAGGCACTTGGAGGATTGATACATTTAGTTCAGATTATTTTGTTATTATATTTTGTTTTCCGAACTGTTTTTAATTATGGTGACATGTACCTTATTTTTTTGAAGTATTTATCGTTTTATGACGTTTTTTGCTTTTGTTACTGATATTTGATTTTCGATGCTCCGGATTTATTTCATGTAATATTTTACATGGTCTCTTTCATGTTTTATATTTACGAATTTAGTTTTATCGTCACTTATTATATACTTTTATAAATGTCATTTATAATATGATATATATATATATATATATATATATATATATATATATATATATATATATATATATATTATCGAATAATGTTTTGGGAAAGATATCTTTTAAGAATCTTTAATGTAATCCGCTAGACTTAGTCGAAACGTATAGACTGGGTCTAGGGGTTACAACTTCCATGAGGGAAACTGCAATAGGCAGGAAGAGAGCTCAATACTACTGCAATGTG